AAGGACGAAGGAGGGGGGGGAAAAAAATCTACAAAAACCCCCCCAAACCTAAATTTTACCTGGAAAGAGGATAGGGATGCGTCTCTTCTGAGGTGTTTTAGTCTTGGTTGTTGAAGGAGGTCATGTCTAGCTGTGAGGAGGTCCGTAGAGCCCTCTGTAGCTGTGAGGAGAAAAGATGAGAGTTTTGGTGTCCTCAGGTTGAGGAAGGGAAAAGGAGAGGACTGCACGTTCCCTGTGTTTCTCACTGGATTGGGAGTTTAAAAATGTCTTTTCAGGGCAGGGATTAGTGGGTCTCTTTCTGGCTCATTTGGGAGCTCTAGGACTTCCTATCTGGCTCCAGTGCATTTTAGGGAGAAATGCAGTTCTCTGCCTCCTAATTACCGTGGAGGAGCTGCCTGCTCATTGGGTTTTGATGATCTGGCCGGTGTGAAATTTAAAAAACACTGTTGCCTGTGAGGCCTGGAATATGGGGGGATGAGTAACTCTGAGGTGTGCCGAGGGGCAGTAGTGTAGCATGCTGTATTTTTAGTCCCAGAAAGAATAAGCAGTTCATAAGCATCTAGAAGGAAATTAGAAGGTGAATGTGAGCCTGTGTGGCTTTGTCAAGAATGAACTGAGCCAGTTTAATTTCCTCTTCTGCCAGTGTGGCAGGGCTTGCAGATAAGGGAGAAGCAGTGTATGTCATATCTTGATTTTTTTTGTTGTTATTTTTTTCCAGTAGAGCTTGTGACACAGGTTTGTAGGGTAGTCTAATAATAAACTGGAAAACCAGTCTAGATTATATCATTCTAACGGAGTTGCAGAACTGGTTGAGATGAAAATTCTTGGTACCACTACTTCTGCAGGGAACTACTCTGGGCCCATTACTCATAAGTAGTGAAATGTAGAGGATAATTGCGGCACTTGATCATGCGTTCAAGTCAAAGGGCAGCATGGGCATGTGGTCAGAGAACTAGAGTTCAGAATAGCAGCTCTGTGAAGAAATAGGATGCGGTTCAATAACAGGTGCACAGTGATACAGCAGCTTCAGCAACCTCAGAATTGCAGGACAGGAGCAAATGGGAACTGCCTTTTTTGCTAGAAAGGACGGAGGGGCTGTGCCAGTTCAGAACCTGAACAGGTATCAGTAATGCTTTATTGCAGAAAAGGCAGATGCTGCACCAGGACCATGCAGGTTAAGAAAACTGTGAGCACACAGAATTTCTTGAGCTCTACTCAGCTATATAAAAATCTTTGTTAGAAGAGTATATCCAGTTCTGGTCTCCATACACATAAAGATCACTTGAGGAAAAGGTGAAAATATCAGAGTCTTTAAAGCTGTATTTTTTTACAGAGGCTTTTGAGACAAGATGGGAAAAATGTAGTAAGCCTCCAGATACATAAAAGGCTGCTGCCAGGAGGACAGGAACAATTTGTTCTCCTTTGTCCACTGGGGGCAGAGCAAGAAGTCTTAAGCTAAAATAACAGCAAGGGAGATTTAGGTTACAATGAAGGAAATTTTCAGCAGTTTGAGCTTGCTAAGCACTATGGGGAACTGACCTGGAGAGCCGAGGACTCTTATCAGCAGTTTTGGAGAACAGATCTGAAAAATAGTCAGGAATGGCATAAATTCAATACAAGATCATGCTTTTGGGTCAGAGGCTTCATTAGATGCTCTTGTGAACTGGTGTCCTGATGGTTCTGTAACAAGGAGATATGTAATCACTGTGGCCCTTCCTGGCTTAGCAAAATTAGATCAACTGCACAGATTACTATGCAAGTAGGCCAAGTAAAATTACATAACAGGAATGAAATTACGTGCAAGTATGGTTTTAGGTTCACAAAGTGATTTTCACCAGATGAGGCGGAAGTAGAAGTAGCTCAACGCTTTTAAACATCAGATGTTATGGTCTTGTCTCTGACAAATGTTTTCAAAGAGTTTTTCACCTTTGTTCTTGCTGTATTGCTGATGCAGTTGTGCTGTACTGATCTGGTAAGGATGCCAGTGTTTTTTATTAAGACCTTACAAGCTAGGCTGAACTGAGCTCAGTAAAAGTAGTTTAGATAGAGTCCAACAGGAAGATGTTTATGCAAGAAGAAATTGAACTGGGACATCCTTAACAATTGCTGGCATTTTTATTTTTTAATAGCAAATGCATGCACTTGGATAATAGTCAAAATAATGTCTTCTGGATTCAAAGCAGATTGTTGTAGGTAAAAACAGCTATTTGCAATTGAAAATATTTGCCTTGAGAGGTGTTCCAGATGAGCTTTGTTGGCACCGGTATTTGTAAATATATCACTCCCAACCAGATAGAATCGTGACGTGCTTTACATTTAAAAAGGATAGACAACAAATATCTTTTCTAATTGTGGTTCCTGACAGCTTCTCTAGCATAGCTATCTAGGTTATAATAGCTCATCAGAATCAGTTTTCATCAATAGTCTTTACATATGAAGAGCATGGCCTTAAGATCAGATGAAGTCACTAATGATTAAACTATTTGCCAATTTGGAGTTTCTAAGCAGGGCAAGTCAATTTATGTCATTTTCTTGCTTTTTTGGCTACTTAATCACAGAATAGTTGAAATTGGAAGGAATTTTTAGAGATCATCTAGTTCAACTCCCCCACCCTGATCAAGCAGGGACAGCTATTTGGCAACTCCTGTTTTCATTTGTGGAATGTGTGAAATAATCATAATACAGAATGAGAAAGGTGGAAGCATATATCTGTGTTTACTCTTTGAGTAGATTTTTACTGTTCTGTCTCTTTTGCAGTTGTTTTCTAGGTAGCGAGTAGCTTGATGGTGACTGCTTTTACCCTCTGCCAGATGAGATCTGCGGTGAAGTGGGTAAGAGCCTGCTTTTTCCAGGCCAGCAGGCCCCAAGGCTTAGGCTCTAAATGACCACCTTTAGAGCAGAGTATAAGGAGGGTGACATTTGGCAGCCCCTGTCCTGCTGGTGGCAGCTTCTCAAAGATCGTGTGCCTAAATGCATTTGTTCCAGTTTTCCAAGCAGGGCTTGGTGAACAACAGGGTAGCAGCAGGGTTTGGAAGACAACATTTTTATGGTAGCTCTTGCAGAAAATGGTCTGCAGTAGAGAAGTGGAGAAAATGGCAGCAGTAATTATCACCATTTTAGATACTGACAGCAAAACTGTGCCTTGATATTGTTAACACTGGCTATCTCAAGGCTTTGAACAGCAAAGAGTGAATGAGAAGGACTCTTTGGTCACATACAGGCAGACAACTCTGATACAGTAAAAGGGTGATGTTACAAAGCAGCAACTTCAGGTTTTTCTATGTAATAAGCTCTGCTAAGACTAAGTGTTAAGACTATCAATGAGAATAATTGTATCCATTCTTGACATGAAAAACGCAAAACTCTTGTTAGCACAGATGCTTTTCAAATAATACTAGATATGCCTCTGATCACTGCAGCTAAACTCAAGTAGTATTTTTGACTTTCAAGGCTGACACAATGGTAGTTCTCTCTGTAAATGCCCATGATAATGTGTATGTCTGTCTGTCTGTCTCTCATTTATTTTTTTTTAAATGAATCACTTCTTTAATGAAGTGTAGCCCTTTTTCCTTCAGAGGAAGAAGGGAGGGAAGAGGAACTGGATATGTCTTGCTCTGAGTAGTCTGTGTCCCTGTACTCTTTGCTGGAAGGCTTGGAAGTGTCCTGGAGCGCTATGCAAGGGATCCCTGAGTTGGGCTCTTCCAGAGAGAAACCCTTGCAGTGCAACTTTGGTGCCCTTGAGAAAATATTGACAGCATCCCTCCTGCACTGAGGAAACAGCATCCTGTCCTGTTCTCCTTTCTGTTTTAGCAGTGCTGAAACATATCTCTACTGACCGCAGCAGTTCAAAACTAACCTCCGTGCCTAAGCACACTCACAAATATCTGTTACATTTTGTAGGGAGCTGCATGAGTCACTACGAACACACCTAGGATTTCCTCATTTCTGTCCCACACCCTGTTCTACCCTGATGAATTCAGGGCAGGTGGGTTCAAGCCTGTGAGCTCCATCTCTCAGACACAGATTAATTAATTATCTTAATTTTCTGTGTATCACAGTCTGCTTTTCTAAAGATTGCAGCTGTCAGTTGAAATCAGTAGAAATAGTCCTGCCTGCCTTCAATAGATCTTGGATTAGAACATAAACTGGGTGGGGTTGTGCTTGCTTTATACTCCTGGATTGGTCGTAGATGTTACTCACATTTAATATTAAACCAATAGTTCTGATTCTAATGGCACTTACTGCTTAGAGGCACTTAAGGCTCTGTTATTCTTACCCTTTGGTAGAAGGAAGGTCGACCAGAGCATGTTTTGGATGGAAGGTGAAGATGGAGTCTGAACATGTAGTAGCTGAAAGCTCAGAGGAGGCAGAAGGCTCAGCCTCACTTTGGGAAGAAATGCTCTGCATTAAATCCCCGGCTAGCTGTGATATTTCTGAAGTGCCAGTTGTCAGCACAGTGCCAGTGGAGCAATCTGCTCAGTGCTGGCAACTTTTCTCCCCTCAGTGCCAATTACGAATGCCATTGACTAGCTGGAGAGGGAAGCCAGCCCACTCTTTGTTGGAGGCCTGTTAGGTGTGATGAGTGGAGTTGTGTAATAAGGGAGAGAAGGGATACAGAGAAAAGAAATGGAGGAATTCCTCAGGGTGCCATCTGTGATGTAGATTACTAGGGAGGCAGAGAGGAAATGGGTTTCTTTTAGAGATTAAATTTGGCAGACTGGTGCAATCAGTGAGCTAACATGCATTCTGCTTTTCAGGCTCATAAAAAGCAAGTGCTAGCGTATATTAACAGTGCACTTTCAAATTGGCACTGGAGAGAAATAATGAAATACATACCTTAAAGTTTCCAGCTGCCAATGTAAAGGACAGAAGTGTTGAGAGGTGATTTACATCAGCCACAGCTGTCTTTGCTATCTCATCACCTCCTTGGTACTCGGTGATGATTTTCTCATGCGCTTTAGTAACATGTTGAAGATTAGACTCCAGCTTTCATTTAATATCTGTCAGGCTTTGATTCTAGAGGGCAAAAAGAAGTCTTAGAAACCTGGCATGTCCTACCTGCTCAGCTTTGGGGCTTCCGTTTGGTCTGCAAGATGATGATTTGTTCATCACAGTTCTCTACAGAGGTTACTTTTCCCTGTGAAGTAGTGTGCTTTTAAACCAGGTGGGATTCATCCCCTCTGTATCTTCACTAGCATACTGGGACTGGTTTTTGCTTTCATGTGGTTCCCTTTCCTTTCTTTTCATGTCTTGCTAAAACGCTAATGGAGCTTTGAGACAGAAACAGATCCTTTTGCTTGTGAGGTCCTTGAATCTGTTTCACTTTTGTGTGTGTGTATATGAATTTGAATTCATTTATCAATATTATTCAAAGTTGTGCTGCAGTACCAGCATCTGGCTTGAGATTTGATTGAAACTCTGTCTGATTGCAATCTTTGCAAGCAAACATAGTCCCTGTTCTGAAGTTTACAATATGTATGTCATCTTATCTCATGGAAAAAGAGCCCCACAGCTCATTTAGTATTTACTGATATGAATCATTGGAGGACTTTCATTGTTGCTGTACAATGAAAGACTTTGGTTATTGCTGTAAAAACAAAACAAAAGAAAAAAAATCACTTGAAGAACTACTACAATGGCTTTAATAAAAAATACCACATTCTAGCAATCTAAGCTACTCTTCAAGAAAACAATGTCAAGTATATGTGCCAGAAGGCTGTGCCATTCTATGCTCTATAGGTTTTTGTAAAACAAATGAGCTTAAAAGACAAAATCTGATATGGAGAAAACAGTTCACCTGCCAAAAACGTATCCTTTATTCATCAATCAATTGTGAGTAAATGTATAGGTTGCAGTTTTTATGTATCTGAATAAAACCTGCATTTACAACTCTGTAACTGGTGTCCTATAATAACAGCTGAGAAATGCTTCCCGTATTATCAGTCCTTTCCAGAAGTCTGTGTTTTGACTTTTCTCATTGCAAGCTTCAGCACGTGTAGTTTATCCTTTATGGAAAAGAACTACTGCATGTAACAGTGAATGCTAAACTGGCCTCTTCAATATACCCACAAAATGAAATGGCAGGTGTGTTATTTCATATGACAGTCTGCAACAGAAGGATGCTTAAAATTTCACTAAAATGGATCTCATTCTATGGAAGAATTCTAAGCACCATGGAAACAACTAGTAAAATAACAGCTTCCATGGAGGCAGATTTTACACTGCCCCTTTTAAAGTGGGTTTTTTAGTGGTGCTTGCTGTTGTAGCTTCTCTGTCACTGAACTTGGTGAAAATCTTAAATTGGCTTCTCTAGGAGCAGAGCTTGTTCTGCCATCAATATATTTCTAAACCCTGAGCTCTTTCTGTTCCATAGAGTTGTTCTGAGGACCACTAYATATTTTTCCATTAATCACCAAGTCGTATGCTGTTTACCCAGAGTTGAGAATTGATGTTACACTGCATGCACTCTTGACAAGCAGATGTTGCATAAATAGCTCTGCTTCGTCTCTGTCTGGTCTCTGAGTTCATTGTTCCTYTCTGTGGCTTCTTCCAGATCTTGTTGCAGTAGCTTGCAGAAGCGCTCGTGGCCCTCCAGGGCAGTGCCCACTCCATCCAGGTGTGTCTGCAGCAGGTGAGGAGGAGTTCCTGCAGCTCTTTGCACTGGTGAGCATCCCCATCCATTTGTATCTGAAGGTCTTTGGCCTTTCATGCTATATCATCATATTTTCATGCTGTATCATCATTATACCTAGTTGCTTCAAATTCTTCTCCCTTCCCATGGATTCTTCTGTCAAGCTGAGTTTTAACCTGAGCTAGTTCTGAAGGGAAGTCAGTTTGATTTCGTCAACCTTTAAGGAAATGTGTAGCAGGTAAAGGAATAAATGCCATCTGTTAGGATTATAGGTAAAGAATCCATTCTGCTGCTGGAAGGTGGGCAGCAGGCCTGAATGCAGTTAGCACATCTGTAACCCTGGCACCTCCATGGAAGACTCTGCTGCCTCCCGTGCCACCTACATTTCATCCTCAATCTCCATTTTTTTCTTTATGTTCTTCAGTTCACTTATATCTTCTCTTCCTCCCCCAGCTACTCGATTAGATTCTTAATTTCCTCTAGGAAAGAAAAAAGACATTTCATGTGATAGGTTTATTCCAGGTGAACTTTACTAAATTCACCAGACAGATTCTTTGCAGGGAAATGACATGAAATGGTTCCAGTCACTCTGCATCAACTGCCCTTTGCATTTATTGCTAAATGTTACCTCCAGTGTTCATGGAAGTGGAAGACTGAAGCCTGTTAACCCAAGGAAAATTCTTTCCAAGCCATATCCAGTCTTTGCTGTGGCCCCTTCCAAATGGCTGCTTTTTCAGAATGCAAACAGGATGCCACATGGTCTTTGTATAGTGGAATGAGGCTCTTTGCCAGCTGATGTAGGCCAGAGCAAAGGATTGGGGAGATAGCCCAGAAAACACCGGGTCTGTGCCAGGGAGTCCATCATGGTTTTCTGCGGGCTGCAAAGGCAGAAGATTCTACAATTTTCTCAGTATTTAGTGTCATATTCCATCCTCCTCTAGGGGATCAATTTCTAGATTTTGCAGAACAAAAGAGAATAGTCAAAAAAGGGCAGCTGTCTCCCTTTATAGCTAGTGCTGGTTGAGGTGCTGGTAATAGGGAGACCCTGAGCAGGAATTTAATTGACACGCTCTCAACTGATTCTTGGAGATACCTGAATCTTCCCCTGAGGTTAAAGGGCAAAGCTGTCCGTTTTAGATGGTCTCGTAAGTGAATCGTATGGGTTTAGAGGCGGGGCTGGTAGCCAGAATTAGAACTGGAACGTGTGTCTTATTTTACATTGTCTAATGCTGTAACTAGTCATCATTACTTTTTGCAAAGCTTTAATGATACTATGTGGGCCACCCTGGAGCAACAACGCTCTGTTAAAGCAGTAATGATACCCGAATCACTGTTGCAGTCTGGTTTTGAGAGTTCAGAAAGATCCTTGATTCTGTGCATTCTCCCTAGAGCTTAGAGTCCCTGGAACCAGTGCTCTGATGTTAGTGTTGAGTAGTCCATTCAGTTGTGCACGTGTGTGGGTGCAGATTGTATCCGAAGAGCAGAATTTAGCCTGGGACTTTTTAAGCCCAACAAATACATGCTCACAGAGAATGAAAGGACTGTTGAGCATAAGAAGAGTTGGTGCTGGAAAGCACAAGAGGTTGTTCAATCAAGGGGCATATGATTTACAGAGGTTTTACGCATCAGACTGAAGGGTCTTGCTCTCTTTCTCAACAGATTCCACGTGCTCCAAGGCTTTTTCACGGGTAGTCTTAAGCTTGAAATTTTTAGTCATGTACATGAGGCATTTTTTTTCTGGGAACTGTCCACTTTCACCTCCTGGTCTCCCCAYTTTGCCAACATCTTATCAAAGGCTCTTGGCTTCTTGTCCAGGGCAGCATAAGCAGCATTGACTGTAAAGATAAAGCCAAGCATTCACTGGATGCAAGTTTTCTTTACACTTCACTTCTCTGCATGTCCTGCCAAGTAGTCACAGTTAAATTGGCAGCCACTCTAATGACTGGCAGAGTTTCTCTTGGTCATTCTGAATGGATGATTAAAATGTTTACGAGGCTTTCTTCCCTCACCATTAGGAATTTAATAAGATCACCCAGTTCCCATCAGTGTGATAGCCTCCCTTCCTCCTGCAGTTATAATGATGCTGCTGTGGAGCAAATGTTTTCCACTTCAGATACTCCTTGTGCAGATGTGCAGCTAGTAATTGCCTGAGCTGATTAGTGTGACTTTCTATTTCAAAGACTACTCAGTTGAAAGCAAGATGTTATTCAAGACTATTTTACAGTGTGTTTTAACTGTTGGTCATGAAGGGAAAGAATAAAGATGTGTTTTTATTTCCTAGGAGTTTTTAATCACAGATATTCTATGTCTCCTTATGATCTGCACATACATTCAAATACCATGGTGACAAATATACCATAGGAACCACAGAATAAAGAACAGCTTCCTTAAGGAAAGTGATAGCAAAACAGATTTTTCAGCCCAGTAATTTAATGCTGTATGTGGGACTGTCAGCTCCTGAGACCTGTTCTAAAGCCCACTGCAGTTATTGGCAGAGACCCAAGGACTTCAGGGGATTTGGAACAGTCTTTATGCCTATTTTAAGAACATTTTGATTTAAACGTCCCACAGTTACACTACTATTCATGCTTTTACACCTCTACTAGCGAGAGTAGAAATGTTAATTTAATGAAGGAGCATCCGTTGCTAGTGTTTTAAATACATGCTGTGCGGAAATGCTTTGAGTGGTATTTAATAACCTGTGGCCAACTCATTGGTACTACAACAGTGAAAAGTTACAAGCAGGATATCATTAGGCTTGAAAGAAGTGAATACTTTGCTTTGCAATAAAGAAGAACTTTTGCTTCACCTTTGCTTGTTTCTGGAAGTTGGTTAATGAGTTTACAAGAAGCATACTGTGCACTCCAAAGAGTTTGCTGTGCTGCTTATCTGTGTTTTCTCTTGGTGTGCATCTTAGCCTTGATTCTAATGGTGATACAAATTATTGTGCTGTTTGCCAGAGGGATCTTAAAATATTAAGAAACCAGAGACTAGTACGAAATCAACCTGAGTTAACAGGAAGACTCCCAGGGCTTCGAGAAGCAGATTGTAGATCTTGAAGTGAACTGTTCGTGGAATGAGGAGCAGCTGGAGGTAGCAGCCCTCACCTCCTGCATCATCACATTTTCACCAGTGATGTGGAAGTGGTTTCAGAAGGGACTTTAAAACTGTTACTAGCACATAGGTAGCTCTTTACTGGTGGATATAACCTGCTGCAGCTAAGCCTCTTGTTCCTGGGTTGTTGCTGGTGTTAGACTTCCTTCTTGTGTTTAGGTACCTCAAGGACTAGGATAATATCTAATAGCAAAGTGACTTCCTTTCTGAATATCCCTGGGACTTGGAGCAAAATTATGCAGAGATGTAGCAGACTTATTCCATTTGTTTCCTTCACAGCATCTCAGATGAACAGTGAAATCTTCCAGATGTCTTTTGTTGCTGATGTATGAAAGGATTCTTAAGTTAGCTGTATTAGACTGCTACCAACGTTGGCTCAACTTCTAATGTGGCTACTAAATTCTGAGGGCTTTAACCTGATTTAGTGCTCGCTTTGTTCTTGTGAGGAACTTCTGGTGGCTTTTGTAGGGCTACTGGAGGAGTAAAATTTCCCTTAGGGTGAAGAAGCTAAATCCAAATCCAAGCTTTTATCAGAAAGGGTYGGTGCTATTTGCCTGTTGTCAGCGTACAAGCGTTAGGTTTCAGTAGTCTCTATTTGCTATATCTTCTTGCCTGGAGTGCTTGTGCTTCCCCTCGGTTTTACAAATTGAGTCCTAACAGATCACATCTGTAAGCTATGACTTGGCTGCCRAACTAGTAAGATTCTTTCAAGTGCCATCTCTGCATCCTCAGAAGCTGAATGCTTACCTGATTTCTTCCAGCTCTTCAGTTCTCTGGACAGTATCATTCTTCAGTTCAGTCCCCCACACTGTGACTTCACTATCGAGTTTAAATTCCAGGTGCTGCAGTTCAACTTTGCTTTCCTGCTCTTCTTCCAGCTACTCTCTCATGAGATCCAAGTCCTGCTTTGTGTTGGCTACGCTCGCTACAGTAGCACAAYAGCAGTGGAGATAGCAAAGCCATTACTAATAATCATCCATATGGAAGTATCAAATCCATGGAGCTCGTGACCCAGTGCTGCAGTGCTCTGCTTGAACGACTCTGTTCTGGACCAACTAGAAACATCCCAGGCTTCCAAATACCTTCCTCATCAGGAGCCAAGTTTCTGCTCTTGCTACCTGGCTGCCTCTGTAGTGCAGTGAATTGAACTCATACAGCTGAAACATCTTGTCACTCTCAGCTTGTCACCATCACTGTTTTCTCTGAAATTACGTTTCCAAAGAGTTATGACCATAAACCGATTGTTTTGAATGGAGAGAAAATTTTGTCAGAGTTTTGTGTACAGATACAGCACTAGAATTATTCTTTGGAGATAGGGAAAATGTTTCCAAGACAGACATGTCAGAAATCTAAAAACTGATAACTTTGGAGCCAAATTTACTTAATGTAAAGAAATATATAAGCTCTAGTAYGATCCACCAAATAGATACTGAGCTAACACTCATGCATGTGTTCTGYTCTTATCACTGCTGCTGACTCATGGCGCTCTGTATCTTGTTTTCATAACCATACAAGGCTGGTAGCCCCCCAGCGCCCCCCCACATTCAGCTGGTAAAAAGCCCAGAAATGAATTTGGATGACTACAGCTTTCCTTCATGAGAGCTAACACAATAAAAGATTTGTAGCTCTAATTTGAGCAGCGTGTCAAGCAGCCAGTGCTGTGTCTCCCCTGATRGCAACAACCTCTCCAGGTAGTTGATTGTCCCCAGGAACTTTGACTCTTCATCCAGCCCTTTAAAGGCATCCACTTGAGAGGTGAGAGAAGTCTTTATGTGACCCGTCTGGTTAAGCTTGCTCTGAGCTTCCTCATGCTCTTAGCTTAACTTGATGTTTCTTGATGTTTTCAACTGTCAATCTTAACTGGAGACAACGTGAAGCAAAGGCTAGAAGGATTTGGCAGATTTGCTAAGGAGATGGGTAGGGCTGCAAGAGCTAGATGAAACGTAGGGGAAGAAGAGGATCAGAGGGATGTAGCGCTGCACAAAGCTGCCAACAGATGGAAAGCAATTTACCTTGGAGCCGAGTCCTGACGGTGTTAATTGCTACTTGGCCCTTCTCCATCTCAGCCAGCCTGGCATTGGCTTCAGACAAGTTACGTGCCAGCCTGCAAACATGAGCATCTGAGTTCAGCTGGAAGAGTGAAGTCAGTCATATGATGCTGAGTAAGACTCGAAGGGCTAAAATACCCTCCCTTCCTTGCACACTGARTTTACTCCCTTTGGATGGAATTGTAATGGGATGACTGTAGTTGGCCAGGGAGTGTAAATTGTGATTTTTGTAGGGGAGATGGAGTGGGATGTCCCCTCCATCAGCTGGGCAGCAGTACTAAGACAAGAAAGCAGGGAAGACTTCACCAATTTGCTCAGAAGACAAATGGTGTCGTCTGCAKCATGGTTAGCTTCATGTGTCATGTTGGAATTTGGTCTTCAGGCATATAGCCAGGTTGATTTGGTCACCTCAGTGAAGAAGCAGCTTGCTCATGAAGCACACCACTGTGCTTCCTGTTAACCTTAGGAATGTTTTTGCTTTTCTTCACCACCACCTATCTTGCAATTGGTAGAATTGATTTCCACATGTCTCTCCTGAAGGGCAAGTTGAAGAAGCTCTTTATGGACCTTGTGGGGAGACTATCAAATGTTAAACAGAGTTTCTCTTAAGGATTTTCCAGGCTAGAACTTAAAAAAAAAAAAAAAAAAAAAAAAAAAAAAAAAATCATTACTGTCTAGGAGCAGAAATGAGCTCTAGGAAGGCAGTGCCCATGTCTGCCTGCTTAGTGAAATAGGCAGAGCACTAAAGTCCATTTTTCCTGTATCAAAACTGTTCCCTACTCCATCATTAATGTGTTTGAAAATAAAGGCACAAGCACTGCAGGAAGTCAGGAGACTTCACTTTGCTCCTCTGAKTACTGCCATCAGCACTTAATTTTTCTTTTGTCCACATGTAAGTGTCCTGGGAGCCTTGGTCTGAAGCACAAATGCCTTGTGCTCCTGTTCATGCTAGGCTTTGCATCAGCAAAACTTGCAGGTATGATTATATGCATTGCCTTAACTAGTTAGCTCTTTAACTAGCAAAATTAGTGGTTTGGATAATATGCAGTTGTAAATTTGTATTCTCGAAGTTAATTTCTAAGAAGAGGTTTGTCAAAGAAATGCTGGCAGACCCATCACTAGAGTAGTCAATAGTGGCACTAAAATAAAGTTCTAATTTGTGATAATATTTTGCATTTCTAGAACAGTTTCTATCTGAGGATCATAAGGCCTTACATAAATATGAATCATTTAAGCATCACAACTTCCAATGATTATACACATTCGATACGTGGGTGAGTGTGGAAGATGAATTACAAACATCAGACAATGAGTCAGAGAAAGAATGAGAAGCAGAACCTTAGATTTCTGATTCTGTTCCTTGCCTGAAGGATTGAACATCACTTCTGATCATTGTTAGGTTAATAGTGAAGAGATCAGGGTATGACTGTGGATTTTCCGAGTGTCTTTAAGGTAAGTGCAGCTAATGCTGTGAGAGTTACGAYGTAGCACAACTGTACTCAGGATCCTGCACCCTGGGAAATTGTGTCCTGTTTGATGCTTCTTTACGATCTCTTCCAAGTCCAGTTTGGCTCATTTCATGTTGTTGTCTTTAGTCACCATTTTGATGTCACTCTCAGCTTTACAAAGAGCCTTCTCTACCTTGCCTTGGATCTTTGCCTATTCCTGATTGTTCTCTACCTTGCTGGAAAAAAAGTAAAATCAGTGCAGAAAACAACTTTTTAACTCCCACAGAAGTAGTGTGTATCAGAATGGGTCTGAGATGTCAAAAACAGCCTTCTGGGTGACCTGCAAAATCTGCCTCCCGTCGTGTTCCTGAGTGGTAAGTTTTCAGGGAGATTCCTCAGCTTGCAGATCATCTAGTGTTTTCTAGAATGGGAGACCCCAAGATTAGTGTGCAGAGTTGGATGAGAAACTAGCAACCAGTACCCTGACAGCTAGCAGAAAATCCCAAGGAAGTTTATCTGAAATGCTTCCTGAATGCACTGGGAGATTTACTTATAGGCAGTACCTTCTTACAGAAGAATTTCAGCTGTCTTCAGCAATTCACATAGCCCTCTTGGGCAGTGACACAAATTGTCAGTGCTTCACTCTGATGCCACGAATTAATACCTAGAAGAATACAGTTCCCTTCCAGTTTGTGCATCTATTGTAATCTCTCACTATCTAAGCAAACAGATGACGTTTTTACTTTTCTTAGAGTGGGAAAATGGGAAAGGGGGGAGAATAAAGAGAAATGGAGCAATTGTTTCTATCTGATGAAGTTCCTCCAAAGTTCTTTCTATTGGAGTTTAGTGATCAGTCATCCTAAGCAGAGACATCTGAAGTCAAAGTTGAGACCCTGTGGTCTAGTGCTTACAGATGGGAAAGGGAATTTCACAGATTTCATGGAACTCGCAAGCCTATCAGGATGAAATGTTACTGGAAACCTGAGTTCCTTTAGAAGGGATCTGAGCTTTAGTTAATAACCCTTGAGACATATGAAGCATCTGTGAGTGTAACATCCTGTGGATGTTAACGCTGACTTTAGAAGAAGCAGCAGACAGCCACRTGGCTGCTCTGCTACAGATCTGAGGCTTCTCCAATTGCATTAAATAAAAATGTGTTTAGGTGCAGAAGAGGGAGAATTTTTCCGCAAGTCTGGATGGGAAGGAGTTACATGGCAGTGGATGGGGATGCTTTGTAAGGAGAGGACTAGTGGCCATGTAAGACTGGGTATAATTAATAAGGAAATACAGATTTATCTGTGTGGTGAGATTGCTAGAAAATACTGTGAAATTAGTGTTATTAAAGGGTAGAAGGGTGAAATGTAAAGTTAAATCTATCCCAGGTTATATGAGATACTAAAAGACAATATCAAACACTGGGGTGAAGGAATCGGAGTCTCCCAAAGCCTGCTGATGCTGGAGAAGCTGTAATAGTTATCAGGACTCACTTCCCTATAGAATAAGGAAGAAGAAAAAAGTTGTGATTTGTACTGGCACTCCTTGGTTTTAGCCCAGGTGGTCTCCAGCCCTTCCAGATCATGTTTCAAATCACAGAGCTCATTCTCTACCATCCACCTTTTGGCGCTCGGGTTGGCAGCTGTGCCCTCCTCTTCTTCTGGGCATGCTTTTATTTCCAAAATCTGACTCTCTAGGTCCTTCTTCAGTGTCAGGATCTACTTAGCATCTAGCAAGTTTTCTTGTCCCTATCGAAGGGATGGAAATTCAATGTTCATCCTGTGATAGACCGCTATATCYCCTGCCTACTGTTTACAAGAAGAGCAAGATTTTTGTCTGTTCTACAGAGATACTGAAGATTTCTTTAATTCTCCTGCAGTTAGAGTTGGTGTGTATTTGCATGGCTATATATACCTACATARTAGGTATAATTACCTCTTAATTGGGTAATTATTATAAAAGTTAGGAAATACATATTTTATATTTCTGCAAAGAGCAAAATACTCCCTTCTTTTGTGTGGCTGTCATAATAGATACTTTAATTATGACAAAAATGYATGTGCAAGATTAATGATATATACAGCTGATACTAGATGGTGGCAACAGTCCTGATTTTCCTTTCCAGTCTTAAACTGGATAAATGATCTGTTAGTGGGACTTTTTGCCTGWCTAAGGGATAGTAAAGAGCAAGTGAGATTTATCACATAGCTTAAGGTGCACATCATTTGCATTATATTAACTGTACTGTCTGATTAAAAGTCAGTACTGGGAGCATCTGTAAGAGAGAGCATTATATGCATGAGGAAATGGGTTGCTGTAGAAACTCTGACTCCACAGCTATATCTACACCAAAGGCACACTGAGTCATAACTGCCATCGATTTTATTTAGCTTGATTTGGTAAGAGTAAACAGTACCATGAATGCCCAATGATGTCCTCATTCTCCCCCAGGTCAGTAAAGCAAGTAGCCACTCTGATRTCTTCATGTTGTCCACAAACCCTGAGGGATTATGCTAGGATTCAGGATCTGGAATTGAAAACAAGAAAGMCAGGTCTAATGATATAAGAGTTTCAGTTAGCAGCAATGCAGAAAGGCTAATTGCTGCTTAGCATCTCCTTAGGCTTGGTGTCCTAGTCCCGTGGACGTGGCACTGGAGTACTGGCGGTAAGGAAGCTTATTCACATCCCTACACATCTTGCACAATGAGCATTCTTGGAAGAGCATGAAGAAGTGTTAGACATGGACATTCATATCCTCTCCCCTTTTGATTTCTCACAGGCAAGATCACATCGGAGGATGTCCTGCAGAGGATGCCTGCCCTCTGAAACTGAAAGACGTGTATGAAAGAATTTGATTCTGCTTGAATTCCAAGTATTGCAGGACTGTTTGGAAACCCTTCCTACAGACATAGATGCCTTCCAGCACTCTGTTATAAGCCAGCTGGAGTCTACCCYCTAAGAACAGCAAAGCAGCCTGGACATTCATCTGCAAAAGACAACAGGATCAATTTCAGGTAAATGATGTTTTGTGATTCTAGCTTATTCTGTTGGTTACAGAGGACAGCCAGCACACACTGCACTCTCATCATCACTTTGCAAATCCTGCATGGCTGTCAGCAATCAAGTGGGTGCAACAGCGGCGCAGTGCATAGTAGAAGCAAAGATGTCTGAAAGAGCTGGATTTAACTTGACCATAGCCACATCAGCTGGTTGAATCCCATAAGAACGCTAACCCAGAGCTTTCCCCATAATGTATTTCCCCATCTCGTTTATGACTTGAAAGCCAAAGCATTAACCAGCTTTTTTTGATGATTA